TCTCTCTCAGTCTCTCTCTCTCTCTCTCTCTCTGTCTCTCTCTCTCTCTCTCTCTTTCTTGCTCAACATGTTGCAAGATGAAGTGGGAATATTCCAGAATAACAAACAGCAACAATAACAAAAATAATAATAATAATAGTAGTGCTAATAATAGTAAACAACAACAACAATAGGAAGAGGAACAACAACAACAACAACAGCAGCAACAACAACAACATCATTAATATCAACATCAAAAAGCAAATAAAAATCCACCCCTCTGGATCACAGAGAACCAAACCATTATTAGACCGTCTGTGTGTTGGGTTAGGCTTGTTGCCTTGCCGCTGTGGCTGATGCGTGATTGTAAAGTGCAGAGTGCAGGGTGGGAGGGGCATGTGTACTTGAGGTTTAGATTGGAGTAAGGTCCACATTTAAGCGTTTTTCTGTCCTAATTTTCTAGCAGGGATAATATTCGCCTTTTCTTCTTTTTCTTAGTAAGGGTTTTACAGCACTTGCAACACTAGTTAGTTACACGGAGTGCCCATTGAGGGATCAGTTCTCTCATACAAACCCATTTCCAGCACATCGTCCGACTCGTCGCCTGAAAACAAACACATTTGTTTTTGAGGTGATGAGTTGGGTAATCAGTTTGTGCCACGATAGCCACTTTGCTCACTCAATCTGGCTAACAAACCGAACAGAAATGAACTGATTGTGCCAAAGGGCACTGGATATTAGAAAGCTAGAACACTGGGAACAGAGTACAATTAATGTGTCTTGGGATGGGGGGTGGGGGTGGGAGGGGTGTTTCTCATGCGTTGTTATATAGGTGTTTGTAAGTGGTGTCTGTTGGCATGGATGGAGAGAGGAGGGGGGCATGGAAACAGACAGACTCATGGACTCATGTGGTGTATTTTGTCAATAGGAGATTTTGGAAAGGTTATGCTTAGAGCCTTAGGTCAGGAATGAAGTTTAAAATTAAGTTTTTGTACCCCTTTTTCAATGTTTCTCACTCTTCCTATTTCCTTATCTGTTGCCCAATTCAATATATCATTTGGTGTGAGTAAAACAGTGATACTTCTTACAAGTTTCTTAATGTGTTTGTGAAACAATATTTTCTTGTCTTGTTCTTGTCCAGGTCATTGAACAGAAAAACCAGGCTTTAGAACAGAACCGTCAGGTGATAGAACAGAAGGATCAGGCTCTAGATCAGAAAGACCAGGTAATAGAACTAAAGAACAAAGAAGTGGAGGACTTACATCGTCACATCAGATCTCTCATGGCAGCTCTACAGCACAAGGAACCTCTCTCTGCCAGCAGTGGTGAGTGCACAAACAACCGTCACCTTTTTTTCTTCCTCTATTCTGTGCTTGTAGAAAGGTCAGACAAGTTAATAAGATTTTTCTTTGTTTTTGTTTTTAATAAGTGAAATACAGTCAAACCTGCTCTAATGGCCGTCTGTCCAACACAAGTTATCAGTGCAAATGACCACGTCCCACTCCCTTTCTTTTTTCGTGTTTTTTATTTCCTCTTGATGGGTGACAGTTGTAGGTAATTTTGACTACAAATGGAAAAGTAGTTCTTCTTGATAATGTGTCAGAGAATGGTGAACTAATATTTAGCCAAACAATTTAAGACCAGTCTGATTTTTTATATTTTTTAAATAGTATTTCATTGGTTTTAAAGAGTAATTTTGGTCAAAGTTTGTAAACATGATTTGTCATGAAATGACATTCTGGAGTCATTGTTTTGTTATTTGATTGCCTCTCATTCTGTTTCTCCTGCTCTCACTATTAAGAGGACAAAGACTAGTGTTTGATGTGCATGCTGGGATACTGTATCCCACTCAGCCCAGGTTGACCCTGACAGGCATGTTCAGAGGAACTTGTGTCTGAAGTTATCAAACTGATTTTCCTGTTTTCTTCTGACACACAGATGGCAAGGCATTCTCATCAGACAGTGAACACAGCATCTTTAGTTATTTAAATTATGCTATGGGAGGTGTAAAATGTTTACAGTAAATTTTTCATCAGTCTCCATTTATCTCTGACACACAGATGATGAAACATTCTCAGGAAACGGTGGACCCAGCACTTTTATTCATTTAAATTCTGTCTTTGGGGGTGTGAACGTTCATAGTATTAAATAATGATCAATCTCCATTTTTCTTTTTGACACAAATGATAATTACTTATTTCTTATTTTAAATGTGTTCCTAGGGATGTAAAATGTTTAGAATAATTTATTGTCAAATTTCCTTTTTCTTCCGAAGTACAGATGTTGAGACATCCCCATATGACGATGAACCTAGCGCCCTTAGTCATCTAGATTATGTCGCTGAGAGCATACACGTTTATAGTCCTAAATTACAAGCATTCTCCATTATTTTTCTCCAACACAGATGACGAGACATCCTCGTCTGACGGAGAACACAGCACCCTCAGCTCGGACAGCGCGGACAGCGGCAGCAGCTCTGACGTGGTCACAGAAGAGTTCCCCGTGGCCAGCTGCAAGGTGTGCCTGGTGCGGTCCTCCCAGTACGTCTTCCTGCCCTGCAAGCACATGTGCTGCTGCGAGGTGTGCGCCCAGCGTCTGCGCGGGAAGAACTGCCCGATCTGCCGCGGTACCACCGTCGACGTGGAGCGGATCTACATCGTGTGAGCGGCGGCTGACGTTACGTTTAGTCCCGAAGGAGTCTACATGGTGTTAAGAAATTACATTGTTGTTGATTTAGAGAGAGTCTACATAATGTTATGAAATTGATTTTGTATTGTTTGTGGAAAGTGTCTACATCATTTAGAAAACTTTTGTGGTTTCAGCATGTTGTTATCGATCCAGGTCGTTTCAACGTAAGTAAATGCAGTTTGGCACATTTTTAAAAATAACAAACATCTAATATTTGGGAACCCTGTGTAAGTTTTTTGTTTTGTTTTTCAAGAAAACAGGGTTTTTATTTGGTAAAAATCACATGCTTGCGAAAAGCACCCCCATTACTACACAACTATAGGGGTCTCTGATCTTGAATAAGTCATTGTTTCAAATCATGAAGAGTTGAGTCCAGTAGAAAAGACGTCGTATTATTGCTTCAAACATCCATGATGGTGTTGTTGAAGGAGATATCAGAACGTTGCCGATTTGGACATTGTTGATATGTGAAAAGAAGAAAAGTAGGGAGAAATAATTACTACTGTACACTTGTAGATAGTTGGCGAGACTGACAAAGATCTGTTGAGAATGCTTTGTTTACCTGCTAGCAGTCCGAGACAGATTCTTTATGAGGGCAGCAAGTATTCTCAGGAATATTGCTGCGTGTTAAGATTGAAAACACAATGTGTGAATGTGTCGTGTATATATATAGTATGTGTGTGAGTGTGTCGTGTATATATATAGTATGTGTGTGAGTGTGTCGTGTATATATATAGTATGTGTGTGAGTGTGTATATAATACGTCTGATTGAGGTACATAGTATTGAATGAATGTGTGTGTGTGTGTGTGTGTAAAATTGAAAGAGGGGAAGGTGTGACTGTTTATAAAGCAGATGTGAGAGTGAAAGTTTGCTATGGCGATGAGAGTGTGTTTGATATAGAGAAGGGGGTGGTGTGTTAATGTGTACATATATGTGTGGATGTGTGAATGGTGATGTTAGTGTGTTTGTAATAGGGAGATGAGTGTGTGAATGTATGTGCATGTCCTCGCCTCACTCAGAACTATTTTGTCCAAAGTGCCTCTTAACTTTAGTACACTTTAGACAAAATAGTTCTGAGGCGACAATGTGTAGATGTGTTTGTGTAAGAGGGAGAGAAGTTTGAATGTGTACATAAATACGTGTGAGTTAAGCATGGGGAAACGGGCAATATGATGGATGTAAGTGAGTGAATAAGTAAGTGGTGAGGGAGGGAGGGAAAGGGGTGTATAAAATGATTGTGTATGCAGCGTGTGTGAACTGTAGCTATGTGTGAGATAATTAAAGACAGCAGTGTACATAAAGAAGATGAGGAGGAGGAGAGGGGAGAGAAGATTGTGTTCATAATACGTACGTGCGGATTGTACTGAGAGGGCATGTGTGTGTGTATATGTGTAAATATTGACTTTGAAATTGGCTCTGAGAGAAGAGAGAGGTGAATGATAGCATGTGTTCCAGAGAGGAGGAGGGGAGAGACAGAGAGAAAGGAGAAGTATGAGTGTGTACATAGGGTGTGAGGAAATATTTTTATGGGGAAGAATAATACACAATGTTTCGTCTAAGAAAAAGGCAGAGGAGAGGGTGGAGATAATTACTCTGTACATGTGTGTGAGAGAGAGAGAGTGTGTGTGTGTGAGAGAGAGAGTGAGAGAGACGTTCATAAGGGGACTCAAAGAAAGCGTAAAGAAATTTCAGTACGAAAAAGTTGAAACAGTGAACTTAAGTCTTATAACTGAAAGTGGATTGGTGTAAGCATTTATTGCTTTTGTTGGTTTTGCAAGATGTGATAGTTGTTACCATTTTTGTTTGTGGGAGGTGGGGAGACGTGTCAAGGAGGACTTTTACTTTGAGGTTTTGATAGATAATAATATATTATACAAGTTCTGGTTAATGTAATAAAACAGGCCTGGTTGCCATAAATAGGTCTTTGGGTTCAGGCTAAGGTTGTTGTTTTTTTAAATTGATGGGTGGGTAAGAGGGGGGGTGGGGGGAGGTGTCTTTTCAGATGGGAAAATTGTAGTTGAGACTGAGAGAGCTAGAATTGTCTCTTATTTTTTTTGAGCTAGGGTTTTTTTTATTTCAAGAGTTGAAACTGAGTCAAATACAACACGCTTGGAGATGCTGTAAGAAAACTTTTCATGAGTGAGCCGAAAAGTATGAGGGTATCTTTTTCCAAAGTGGACAGCGTTAGATAGCAGTATATGCGTAAGTGGTGAAGTATCACCAAATGAGATCCGATATTTGAGCGAGTGGCAAAAAGAGACATCTGTATTCATGGACTGTTTGTGTGTGTTTCTGGATGGTCGTTTTTCTCTTGTGACTGTGCTGGAGACTAAATGACGCGTTTTCTCAGCATGATGAAGCAATATTTTTAGAATAATGGTAAAGTCTGTTGTTGTAATGTTAAAAGTGAATTCTTTTTGTAAGTGGAATGCATACAGCTGTATGTTTGCTTGATTTTTGTAATATTTTTAAAAGATAAATAAATGAATATGTCCCTTTTTAAAATCATCTACAACTGTGTATGGAGATAATCATGTTGTTTCATAATGACACGGTTCTGATGTTTCATTATATATAATACAAATAGTTTTGGTTTGTTTTTCTTGTTGTTTTTTTTTGTTTTGTTTTTTTTCATTCACCATGAAAGACGACTGTGTCTGTCTGTCATTAGAATGTCCAAACGTTATTGTCATCACTTTTATTATCGATAGACTACCGCGTAGAATATGCTACCTGTTTTTTGAATGTCCATCCTCTTTAGCACACGTGTACAGACAAATGAATGAAAATTATTTTATTGTTCTATTTTTTATGACCATCATGAAGATTTGAGGCGAGCACACTGCCAGCAAATAGTTTGTGTCGATATCTCTCTCTGTGTTCATGTCATCTCACCAAGCCGTTCATACCGACGATTGTTCACGGTTTTTTTATTTTATTTTGAAAAGATAACAGCTAGTTGTGTAGTATTTTTCTGTTCACCTAGGTTTGTAGTTCTGTAGAGGGTGAGGATTTGTTGTAGTTGGTGTAGTGTCATTTTTTTTTTTTCCATCTACGCGCTACACATGTCCGTCTATATAATATGCTACACGTGTGGGTCTACGCTCTCTGCGTTTCCATCTATGCTCTGTGCGTGTCCATCTACACTCTACGCATGTCCATCTACGCTCTGTGCGTGTCCATCTACACTCTACACATATCCATCTAAATGCTACACGTGTCCACTTACGTGCTACAAGTGTTCATCTAATTGCTACACGAGTCCATCTAAATGCTACGCGTGTTCTTCTACAATCTACACGTGTCATAGAAACATCGTACGTAAGATCATGATATTTAGTGTGAAATTTTTCTTAATTAACAGTTTTCAAACTTATCCAGGACAAACATTGAAGTACTAATTTGTTTTCTTTATAATTTCTTTTGTGTCATCAAGATTGAAGATTGTTTTTCGTAGGTCCATCACTTCTGTGGTGGAAATTTACAAAGTACTTTGAAAATAACATGTGAAATATGAATTATTCTTTATTTCAGATGTGTATACTCTGTATTCCTTCAAAATTTTTACTTTGTAAATTGACTTTGTAGATTAGGTATGGTTAGAAATATCGTCACCTCAAAACTCTTTTGTCCAAAGTGCACTCTTTACTTAAGTACATTTTGAACGAAAATAGTTCTGAGGCCACGATATGATGATAAGCTTCAGGGTGTTTGAGTGCATAAAAATTACTACCTAGCGGCAGAAAAAAGAAACCACCCTCCACATCTCTGTCACTCCACCACTCTCGTTCTTTCTCTCCGGTTACTTATCCTTGTTGTTACCTCACTAGCAGCCCTTGATCCCTCCTCTCTATCTCAACGTCTTTATTCTCTCACTCATCCGGGATTTTCCTCCCTCCCCTCCCCTTCCTCCCTCCCTCCTCCTTCCCCTTCCTCCCTCCCTCCTCCCCTTCCTCCCTCCCTCTTTCCCCCCACCCTACCCCATCCTACCTCCTTAAGAAATTTGAGGATGGCAAAAGTAAGAAGAGGCCTCTCCCCCCTCTCCCCTTAGCCCTCTTCCTTCCTCTCTTTCTACCATATGTTTGCTGGTCAGTTTACAGAATTGTGTGAAAATTTCACTTTGTTCTGTCTTGAACAGTAACAACGATATGTTGGTAATAGATTAGTTTGAGGGGTGGGTTAGAGATAAAGAGAAAGAGAAGGAGTGAGAGAAGGGGGAGGGGGGAGGAGGACAATTCTTTACTTTTGTCATGCCAACTCCCTTTCTTTTCGTAAACCCAATTCCCCATCTTCCCAGACTCTCCCCCCCCCCTTCCCCTCTCACCCCCCTTCCCCCAAGTCCCGTC